AGTTTACCCGATTCCAGGAGTTTCTTGAGGAAAATAAAGGAAACATCGTCCGGACCAAGATCAAAGTCTGTACAGCTTGATAATCCAGAATCTAATTGAATGAAAAAGAGATGTTGGTTTATCGGATGGTCGGAGTCTATCACAGGTGGGGCAAATGGAAACATTTTATGAATATTCGTTATTCATACTTAGAAACTCCAGGTTGTAATTGTGGTTATAGTTTTCGAAATATCGTTGTACCCTATAAAATTTTATTGACAATAACGAAGCGGGCAGTAGTACAATGGTAAGAAATATTTATGGTTCACACCAGTGCAACTAGAATTTGTCGGAGAAAATTTAACAGGCAGTTGTACTCGTCAAATAATGCTCATTTTCGTTCGTGAGTAACGATGGTCGCTATTCGGATCTGGATTATTCTGCTTTCTAACATTTGTGGATTACCGCCACGCGACAGCTTTAAGCTGTAAATATCTCTTGATATTGTACTACTGCCCGCCTCGTTATTGTTAATAAAATTTTATAGGGTACAACGATATTTCGTAAACTATACTATGTTTAAGTTCGTTCAAATTTGTCAGCAAAAATTTGAACTATCCCTTGATTATTGGATATAACGTCGTTGGTATGTATTAGGATTTGAGGGTCTAGGGAAGTGGTTAAGTCTTTAATTCGTCATATTCGACTCCATAACTTTTTGACTGAAGTACTGGGAGATACTGTGGAAAAGAATTTGGTCTAGGAAGCTCTTTTGCTGCTTTTAATAGTAAGACGTAAATTTCATTGAAAATAATCACTACAGTGTTGATTTATTGACATTGAGTACATTGGTTGTTTAATATGTGAAACGTCAACAAAATTAATAATTTTTGCAGTTTCAGTACGTCACACTGCTCTACGAATTTCAGGGAAATTAACTGGGTCCTTAGAATAAAAAATAGAAAATTTCAAGATTATAAATTTCTCAAAGAACTGTATTGTGTGTACTTTCTTAACTAGATACAATGAGATGACGTCATCAAGTTTTTGGAAGAGATAACATATAGATACATTCTTATATATTAATGATATTATCAGTAATTTTACCTTTTCGACCTTTTATCTAAAATCTACATGTGCATGGACAAAAATAAGATCGGATTAATAAATCACACGTACAGAAGTATGTTATTGTACACAATATAAAGAGCAAACACTTATTTATTTAGAAAACTTTAAGCTTACATCATCGAAGTTTTGGTGAGGATAAAGTGAGAAATTTTGGTGAGCGTATAATCACCAGACTTCGGCATCGCGGAAGTCATGCTCATTGCCGTCCGATCGCCAGCGCTATTGCAGTTGTGGCCAACTTCGGGAATTCTTAATAACAATTACTACTTTTTCTAGGTTTTTCTCAATTATACGAGTTCTCCTAGATGTTAAAATGCTTTAAAAATTAAGAATTACAGTTTTCGTGATGTTCTTGATCAGATAAACCCTGAATTGCATCAAACGTCACAGATTGAGACTGCACAGTCGGCCAGCCAAATTTATCACATGACATCCCACTGTCGTTTTTAATATTTGTCTGATTGACTCTCCAACACTTCGGCTGTGCCTAACTCTTATAATCACAACACACGATATTTTAGGAGCTATGAAATGTCAAAAACACCTGAAATTATCCCTATTACAGTACTTCCACAGCTTTTGAAAGGGGAACAATATGTGAAGTTGTTTGCAATGGACTTTCCTCATTTTTAAGCACAACAAGTACTGTTATTGATTATGTTAAGAAACGAAGAACCACCTTCTGGAACCGACTGACATTCAAACTAATTTTGAATCATTAAATTTGGTGATTATTTACGAGAAATGTTCAGATGATTGTATTATTAATATTATTATTAATACCTGTATTCTTTTTCTCTATATTGTAAGGATTTGATTACGTTTTCATGTGATTTTTTATCGCACTTGATTTTTTCAGCACCTATATAAATCTTGTATCATTTGCGGAAAACAGGCATGGATTTAAAACGTGACTGGTGTAGGGTTTTAGAAGGGCGGGGTTTGGATCACCTAATTAGAAGATTAATCTGAGAGAGGGGCGGGACTTGTTGATCAGTCGGTAGCAAGCTAATGGGAACTGCAATTAATTCCATATGTAGCGGAGAGGATAAACAGAGACAGGCAGTGACGGAATTGCTTGTTTGAGTTTGCGTCCAAGCGACCTATCAAAGATTTATCATTACTCATTAGTTCATTACCGACAAAAATTGCGTCTAATTTCACACCATATTGTGACATCAAAAAATAAGGTTATGTTTAAGTAGCTTGTTCTAGCTGCAGTTAATTTGATTACGTGACATTGTTAATATGAGATAGAGAGGTCAGATGTAGAAATAAAGATAGAAAATTGAGATCAACTGGTCAATATTTGTCAAAATATTATGTACCAAAAATATTGGTCGGAGGTGAAAAATGATAAAATTTGATCTTGCTATTTTTATTTTGTGTTAACCCCATTAACGTTTAAAAACAAAAACCAATATGAAATATATTTAAAGAAAACTAGCGGGAGAAATGTATTCTCAATTTCTCAGTACATGCTGAACTTCGATTGTTTATGTATATACTTCAAATGAATTCGACTATTAACCTGTTCAGATCACAAGCATCAGCGGAAAAAGAAAATTAAGTTTGACTGATTTTGTCAGCACAGAGGAGAGGGATAAGCAATTAATTAAGCACAAACGGTTTTTTCCAAAAATCTCAAACACAACATTTACTATTTGTAAATTTAGAAAATGGCGTCATCCCATTGTTGGTGGGGATATTAGACAAATTATGGGTAGCGTTTTGCCAGCTAGACTATATTCCTAGAATAAATATAAAATTCTACGACAATCGGCCCAATAGTTTCCTAGATTATCCTTCCAATAAAAGTGGCAGAGACAGACGACAGATGACGGGCTGATGGAAACGCGAGACCTACTTTTTCGTAATTTGGGGCATGAAACGTCAGAAAATATGAAAGTAGCCATTCGTCTGAGTATAACAGTATTCCCTTAGCTTATGCTTGGGAAGTAAATGTTTTTGAAATTTTAAAGAAAGTTAATTTCTTATAGTTGGACAACGAAAATTGCTGTGAATAATCTTAAGTTGTTTTGTTTTTTTACCGAACAACTTTAAATCTAGAATTAGATAAAAAATGGTTGAGTAAAAATTACACAAATAAAAATAATACCTGTGTATTGATGTCGTAATTTTTCCCTACTTTTACATTTGTAGAATACCTGATGCATCAAATTTAAATGTTTCGTTACAATTATTTCAAAATTCTGGATCAGTTATTTGCATAGACTGGTATTAAATAAATTCATATAGTAATAATTATTATTATTAAATGAAATATAATTAATTTGATATAAATTCCACATTTTTGACTGATATGATCTATCCCGTTAATAAATTTTATTTGACGTTGAAGTTTACTTTTTATTCTTCTAATTTTTGTTATTTAGGAGCTCAGGATTATTTCAAAAATCTTTCTAATAACACTTTTTGGAGAAACATTTATTCAGGTCATGTTCCTATAGTTAATATACGCTAGATGATTATAAAATATGATACATCAAGCTGGCTTTGAAATTTCGTGAATTTTGCCACTTCGCTGTGATGATTGATGATTACTCGTCGCCTGCCACAAATGTCAATCTTAGTCTAACTTTTTAAGCTTTTTGGTGATGTTCGCTGTCTGTTAGGTAGGGATCCAATAATTCAGTTCGAATGACAGAGTTGCTACCTGTCTCAATGGAACGGCAAATTCTCATAAAAATACAGTGACAGGTTTTCCAAAGTCTACTTGATGTGCGATCCGATTATCCGATCGATTATAAGCACGATTTATTTCAAAATTTTTTACTAATTTAAAATAAATACTGAGAAAGGAATCTTTGTTAAGACAAGCTTAACTGACCTGCAGTGAAAATGAATTTTTTATTATAGATAAAATATTTTGAAAATAATGTCAAAAAATATTTACGTTTATGTTTTTAGTAGTCACAAAAAACGAAAACTGCCCACCTAAATCCCAGTTAACTTAAACAGTCTGTATAAAACTTGCAAGAAACAGTAAAATAGGAAATTATAATATAGCTAAATTATTGTCTTAAGGAACTATTTAGGTCTCTGAGGAAGTTACTTTCAAAGTGGGCCATTCGTACAAATTAATTATTATTAGTTTCAGGAGTTTCATAAGTAATTATTTAAGTTCAGTTAATCTCCCCAAAAATATTCACTCTAAATAATGAGCACTTTCTCCGCATGAGAGTGGTTAATGTTTTCCTGAAATTAGTAAAATTAAAAAATAATCCTCTATCTTGTTTTTGTTTAGCAGGATTAATACATTTAATGAAATATGCATGCGTTTTTCGTTCTCTTGCATATGCTGCAGAAGTATTCCCTTTCATGCATTGCTATTTATAATAATAATAATAAAAATAACTCTATACGCCACACATAAATCCGGCAAAAAGCGGATTATCTTGTGTAGATTAGCCGAGAGCTTATTTCTTTCGTTGAGGCTTTAGTAGGTGTATCGAGCCCTTGTTCTGGATAAGAAGCTCGTCTTAGTGGCGGTGGGGAAAGGCCCTCTTATCGAAATCCGGCCCTAAGTAATTATGGGGTTAACCGAGCTTTATCAGACGTCGCGGCCAACTAGATGAGCGAAGTATTGTAATTAAGTTTCTAATGACCCGTTCGGCCCATTTCGGACATCTAACGAAATAAATGATCCCTGGTACACATCGAATTAAACTGTTGAATAATGCAGGAGTCGGCCGAAAAATAAACGAGCTTTCAGCTTTGCAGAAAAGCAATTTCAGCAATTTTTTTATTATGTATACATGCATCATTCTTGCGTGTGTGCGTACGGAGGTTTGCTGATTTAATTCCCGATACGCGGGACGTTATTTTCGGGAATATGGAGTGAACAATGGGATAAATTTGGCACTCACCCTTTCCTGGCGAAATTGCTGATGTAATGGATGAGAGTTTTCGAAACGGTTACGTCACTATGGCTGTAGTTGTGTGGAAAGAATGATCCTCCGCCAATCAAAGGAAGCCCGAGAATATATGGAAGATCCTCGCCTCGCACGCTGCCAGACCTCTGAAAAGTAAAAAATTCCATTGCTAGAAAAAATATTCGCCGAGGACGCTTTATAAACTTGGAGAGACAAATTACTTTGACTCTTTTCTTAGAGAATTTCACAATAATTTGTTTTTGTGGGCGCTTACTTATCGTCTACTGAAAACCGCAATTCACTTGTAGGGACTTGCAAAAAGATCCATTTATAAATTGGCAAAAAGTTTCTTACATGCTAGACCTTGCTGCTTTTTTAACTAGCAAAAATACGCTTTTTTTGGACGACTCTTCGGACGAAATTTACATTTGTTTAGAATCGTTTTTGTAGTTTTTCTTGTTCAGAATGTGCCTGGTGAACTGAAACCCCTAGGGGCTGATAAAAAAAAACGATTTTTTTGATTTTAGTTCATTTTTTGTATAACAATATTAAAACAAGGAAATTCGAGTATCTCGAACGAAAGTGGAAACAACATAAATGTATTAATGCCTGTTTTTACTGTATGTGAAATAAAAAAAAGAAATATATATTTTAGAACTTGCAAGTTTTTTAAAAATGAGTGTTTGGAAGCAAGTTACTATTATTTCTAGATTAATCATTTATTTCTTTTATCTGTTAACTGATATATGGATTTTAGAATAAAAATAAGGTTACTAGTTGATAAAGCTCGCTTTACAGATAATCTGAGCTTGGTCAAGATTAAATCGTTAAAATTAAAGACAATTAAAATTCAGGGTCAACTAAATCGCACGTTAAATAAGTTAGAGCTGAGGGATTTCGATATTTTTGACAAATTACACGATTTGATTTCTTACTATATTACAATCGTCTCCAAATTGTCTCTCTACTCCTAGATGTATTTTTCGGACTTCCTCAGGGCCGCAGTTTTGGCGCCACTTTATTCTTGTCATTCATAAGTGACTTGGCTTTAATATTTACTTCTTTCGATATATTGTTATCGATTTTCGAACATTTGAACAGGATTTTTTTCATTTTAAAGCACTTATAGAATCTACTAAAAGTTATGACACAATTTAGTTAAATTTTATTTTTTAACTGTTAGCAGAATTCATTTTATGTAGCTATATTAAAAAATGGTTGTAAACCTTCTAATAAGTTATGTGTACGATAATAAACATATATATTGTTATTATTACGTATTATTAATACTGCAAAGTTTATATAAGTTACCAGATTTGTCATTTGGATGGTTTGCTTTAATTGAAATGATCTATACTGTAAAATTCATTTTCAAAAATATCTTGTTAACCGCTAGGTAATAGCGTAAACCAAATGTTATTGTTCTGGACCTACTTATTTCTTACTGTTCAGAAAATCCTTTTTGTTGTTTGCTTTTTTTTAATTACTAAATTAAAAAACTGAAATTAATACTTAATCAAAAACGATAGAACGATCCGTCGAGTGCTCCTAAACGTTTATCTTATATTAGTATCTAACCATAAAATATTGTTACACAATTTCGATATTTGTGTAACAATATTATGTGGTTGTCTAAGCGAAAAATTCAAGGCAGATTCATATACCACAATATAGGAGTATCTTATTTAAAAAAAATTGAAATAGCATTTACCATGTAAAACTTGCCCACTCGCCCCCTCTTTTCCCAGAGGATATGTCATTTGTCAAAGTAGATCTTATCTTAAGTACTAGCCCTTTTCACGAGACCTCTATTTTCTTAAACGGTATGTCATTTGCCAAAATGCTAGTATTTGCTAAGATAAAGACTGATTTTGGCAAATAACATAATCCTCTGAGAGAATAGTGCGGTGGGTGGGCGGGCTAGTCCTTGTTGAGATAAGACTAATTTTGACAAATAACATATCCTCTGAGAAAATAGGAGGCAAATCTAAAAAATATGAATGCAATGATAAATCACAAGTAAAAACTCATCATACTGTGCACATTTTAGGTAGAATTTATTCGGCACAATTTTGAGATGATATATTTTGGTTACATGCTTACAATAACTTTAGCAAGATTTCAAAATATTCATTTTTGCAATTCTTGATTTATGTAAAAAAATAAATTGATTGATTCATTAATTTTTTATATCACTCTGTATAAGCAAATCTAAAAAATATTAATGCAATGATAAATCACTGGCATAAACCTATGATATTTTGGACATTTTAAATAGGAGTTATCCGGTTTCGGTTTTGCAGATTCAAAATTAAATTCCGAACTGTTGTTTTATAATTTTGATTTCTTTTCCAAAAATCTGTATGTTTCTAGTAAAAACTTAACTCGGCATCGCAAACTCCTTATAATGTGTAGGACTATGTTATTTTATACAATTTAAAACCCATTTATTATGTACGATTTTGAAGTGACGTCATGACATTATTTGTGGGGAATATTAGAAAAATTTTGGTGAGCGTTTTATCATCTACATGATATTCCTATATAAATACAAAATTTGACAACAATCGACCCAGTACTTTCGGAGATTATCTCTCTAATAAAAATCCGGGACAGCAGACAGACGGACAGACAGACGGATAGACGACAGACAGACAGATGCTTACGCTCGGGATGTAAAAAAGAAAATAAATAGATAAACTAGATCTAAAAAAATTGAGGTCGTAATAACCTTCCATCTGAGTAGACACAACTTCCAGCTTCCCCGAAAAATTATAATATTTTATTTTGAACAATTTAATTTATTTTACGATAACGCATACATGTGAAAAAATCCATATAATATCAGTCAAAATGTAAGAAAAAAAGTGACGCATGAGGGGATCGAACTTGCGGCCTTTCCGTTTTGCCTTGTGTCGAATTATCTGATCCATGAGTGCTTCGGTACGTTTCTCTTGCATTAATATAAAATGTTATATAATTTTTAATTTCTTGCCAAAAATTGGGTGCACAGGGTAAACACACAAGGCGAATTCACAAACTACAAGTATAAGTGTATGTTACTTAAAAAGAAATTAAACAGCATTTACCATGCAAAACTCTGACGTGATGTCATCAAATTGTTGGTAGAGAAGATTAGACACACTTTAGTTAACGTTTTACCATTTACATGATATTCCCAACATACATCCAAAATGTGACCACAATCGGTCCGTAGTTTCGGAGATTATCGGTTCAATAAAAAATGATACACACGACAGACAGGCAGACAGACGGTAACGAGAAACCTATTTTTCCTACTTTAGGGGTCACAAAACGTCGAGGAAACATGTTGGATTGACTCTGTTTACAATACTTAAATAAAATTATTAAGGCGATAAAGTTTGATTAGGATTTACCATGCTTAAGCTAAATTAAAATTTTTACAAAAATCTGGGTGTCTAAGGTAAAAATTTAACAAAAATACGTTATTTTATATAAAATTTAAATAACATTTATTGGACAAAATTTTATGACATCTTTAATTTTTTGGAAGGGGATAAATGCATAAATTTTGATTAACCATTTTCTATGCTAATGACAAAGATAAAACGTTTGCAAGATCTCAAAGCATTCGATATTACAGTTCAAAGAATTAGCAAAATGTTGTTATATAATTTAGATTTTTTTCTCAAAATTTCAAACGTCTAGGGTAAAAACTCAAGAAGGATTCATAAACCACAAGTGTAGGAGTATGTTATTTTATAAAATGTAAACAAAGTTCATTACTCTAAATTGTAGAGATGACGTCATCCTATCGCTGGTAGGGGTGATTTAACAAATTTTGGTTTTACCATTAACACGATTTCATAGCATACATATGCAATTTGGCAACAATCGGTCAGGTAGTTTCGGAGATTATCTGTCTAATAAAAATATGGATATACGGTAGACAGACAGAAACGGAGGACTTACTCTTTCTTACTCTAGAGGTCATGATACGTCTAGACAATATGAAATTAGTCATTCTTGTGATTCTTTGTCGCAAAATAAAAGAAAACAAGAATATTTACACAACATTTCGATAAATCGTTCCAAACAAATATTTATTTGCATTAAAATAATAATTGATGTACAATAGGAATTAAATGCAGCATGTAATTTGTATGCCAATCACGGCCAATTATGTAATTAACACGTACCTGTTGCCGATGGTATCTAATAATTCACTCAATTAAAACTGGGCTATTGGCTGAAATGCGGTAAAATTCTCATTTTAATTACTATTGTACTTTGAAATAAGTAATTAATAAATATTTTAATTCCATGATAAAACAGTCAATGACGCTTAATGTGAAGAACTTTCTACGCCTCAAGACACAATCAGTTATTTAGACTTAGATTTACTTATCGTCTAGTTATTTTAAAAATCATACATCAAGTTGCCTTTGGAAAAACTATCATTGCGTTTCTAACAATAATTTGCCGCTTCCATGAGATAGGTAGTAAACTATCACGCGAACTGAATTATTGTTTGCCATTCTCAGGTAACAAACACTGAAAAAGCTTAAGAAAGTAAGGTTATGATTGACATTTGTAACAGGCGACCACGAGTAGCTTTCAATATCACGACGAGGTGGCAAAGTTCATGAAATTATAAAATTTTGTTTTTCCAACTTGAACTAATTTTTCAGTCTTTACTGTGTTGTCCGAGCAAACGTTAGAGTGAATATCAGTTTAGATAACTGGTGCCCGAGCCTCTCGCCATCTATGACACCCGAAATAGGAAAATCGTTAATGTGAATTTTTATAATATTTTCTGTACCTGGTGTGGGGAAGTTGAAAGTATAAAAATGAATGTTTGTTAATTAAGCTCTTTGAAGTACTTATTCTTGCTTTTTGGTTCTTGTGAAATAGCATATTCTTAAAACAAATAGCCCCATCAAAATACGAACTTTGGATCTAGTAAGTATCTAATACTGTAGGAAGTAGCATTTAGCTGAAATGTAGCACCATAACAGAGCAGCCATTCTCAATAAACAGTAGCGCATCTAAAGAAGAACAAAAACTTCCACAATCTTCTATATTTCTTCGTATACTTTTAAATGTCAGTAATCTATGAGATGTAAAAAGCTGTTCCAAGATTAAAAAGCTTTGAAAACTAGCT